GACTACCATGAACACCGTGCCTTTTTTGTTGAGAGCTGACAAAGATCTAGCCATATTATTGTAGCTGCTAATTTTTTGCAGGTGTCAGTACCGCTGAACACATTCGTGAATTACCCACAGCAACGCGTTGAACTTCAAGGCGGGTACTTTTTGGTGTTACAACGTCTTCAGCAGCAATACAAAATCATTGTACAACATGGGGTGAGTCAGCAAAGTTCTCTGCTTCATAAACATTTTGTTGTAATGTTTTGGAATGCTGTAGTGATATTATTCTACTTGTGGGTGAAAATGTAGTTCGGAGGGAGGGGGGGGGCACTCATAATATCTAATCGAAGTGGAGCTGCGGAAGGGCGGTCATATCTAATCAACATTCAGAGCACAGTCTCTGAGTGTATGATTAGATAGGGATACCAACCCGAGATTCCATACAAAATCGGATACCTGAAAGGTCCTTTCTTCGAGGGCTCGCATGGCAGTCGCAAGAAGGGGTGAAAGTGAAGAGCCAGCAAGGTAGCAGCCATTTTAGCCATAGAATAATATGACAAGGGTAAGGTACTAGTCGTAGGCCACGGTCTCAGTGAAAGATATGATAAGATATAAGTGCCTTCCCGCAACTCTACTTTGATTAGATATGTACGTCTTTCCGCAACTCCACCTCGATTAGATAGGGTGCCCCCCCCCGAACTACATTTTCACCCTACTTGTGTTCAGTTTTGGTAGGGGGCTTTATCAAACATTACTCTCAGTTATCGGATGTACATAGGGCAAATCCAAGCGAAACGAAGTCAAGTTAATATGTAGCAGGAAATCCATTGCTGCAGTCGTTTTACTGCAGCCAAGTGATTTCAGTCTACAGGGTGGTCCAAAATTATGAGGACCGCGTGCGCGCGCGGTCATATCCACTTTTTTCCGTATCGCTCCATTTTCATCTCCTTTTCTGTGCACTATGTGAAGGGTACAATGTCTTCTTCCTAATGAAACCAAATTTCATGAAGTTCTCAAAACTAGTGAAATAACTACTTCACTTTAGTCAGTCCTCAAATTGAACTCACTAGGGGCTCTGGCACGTTACATCTAGCAGCAGTCTAACCTATCAGGGAAGCTCTTATGAGCAACAGTTCAACTCTTCAATAAGTTTGGAACCACCACAGATGGAAAATTCGGGGACTCGAAAGTTACAGTTACCACCAGGATAATTATCAGATGCAGAAACTAGGTCTCCCCTTGTCGACTTTCGTACTCCCAAAATGAAAAAATTGATGTGAAAACCCAGCCAGACACTCTAAAGACTCCACATCTGTAGTGGATAGAAAGCCACACGAGTAGTCTACTTGGGACTTCTTACAGGACCGAGCACCCAAGAATAAAGCAAAAATCCTCCAAAAGCGATTTTTCGAGTTCGTTGCTTTCGAAGAATTGTTACAATGGAACCTCCACCTAATAGCTCTAGATTTCTGTATTTCACACCCTGGATGCAAGCGCAAATAAATGCCCACAAAACTTTGATTCCCTGAAGAAGGCAGAGCAGAAGGCCTGGAAACATTTGGACACGCCTCAGTTGCGTGCCACCGCACGCGCCATCCCCCTTCATCCGAAGGCTCGTGTTAACGGGGCAGTGGCAGATCTCAATTCTATTCTGGAATTACTTTGAGGTAAGAGTTACAAATACTTCCCTGAAGTTGGTTTGTTCCATCAAGCTACTATGCGTTTTTAACGACACAATGTCTTGGTCCTCATAATTTTGGACCACCCTGTATATTCACAGATGTCCCCCGGTTCATGGCAACCTTGCAAAATATGTAGTTGCTCTGGAGCGGTAAAATAAAAATAGAGCTTCTACGATGCAGTAGCCTTCAGCAATCCCGTTGCTATCCATTTCTTTCGTAGATCTAGTCTTGTAGTGAACGTAAAGCGGGAGGGTTGGCAAAAGTCATCGCATACAGAATGCTCCAGCTGCGTTCGGAGTCTGTACGGTATCTGTGACAAATTAATTATGGACTCAGTTCTTTACGCTCAACCCTCACTCACGGGAATTTATGGTTTCCCTCTTTTTGTATGATTCACAGGCCCCGGTGCATTGCAGAATTACAAAGCTTGCACTTCAAAGGTTAAAGGTTATCAAGCCACTGTCCACTGTGACTTCAGAATAAGAAGAGAATGCGCTAAGCAAAGTCAGCTTCGGTTAGTGGCGTCGCTCCGCCATGAATCCTGCTTTCCTATTTCAAGAAACGAGGAACAAATGTTACAAATCCGATAGAGCACTCAGCAGTCAATTAACCAGCTTCGAGTAAGCCTCCTGCCTCAGCTACCACAGCTAGCATGGCCCTTGGATTCGCAGATCTGACTGTGGTGCTATCCACTAAACGGGAAACCATTCGTTCTGACTGTACTCCTGGTACTTTCCTCGTATTAACGGAAAAACGGAACTTTTTATTGTCAAGGACCTGCTGAAGGATAACCTAATCACATGGTTTGATAAATATTTACTTCCTCTGATACTAATCTGAACTCATGCGAATATGATTGATCAAGTTTTTTTTTTCTTTGCGAATCGACATGTTTTCCAAGCTCGTTCTTACTTCGCGATCCTGTGTGATCGTTTTGATATGTTCTTGCTGATAAATTGAAAATCTGAATTTCAGCATGAACGGAAACCAGAATTCGTCGTTTATGCGTCAGCGTTGAGCCATGAGAAGGATATCAAAACCCAAGTCAAAGAGATGAACACAAGAATTCATCGAGTGGGTGACAAGTAACTTTTGCATGGATGGCCTGCATTTTAGGTTGCTATCCCTTACGATAATTCATTTTCGTCTTTCCCTATATTTTTCACCTGGTATTTCTTTTCCTCACAACCACTGGGTCCCTCCACTCACGTGTCTCGTCGTTGTCTATTTTGGCACCTGTTTTCCAAGATTTTCTCTTTTTCTTCCTTTCAACAATGTTTCTCTTACATTGCATTTCTTTCACCTCAGACTCCTTCTTCTGTACATTTGTCAGAGAGTTCTTATTGTTCTGCTCTTCACTTTCACTATTTTCAGATCGGCATCGCCGGTCCGAATTTGGACGTAGTAGGAGCTCTGCGAGTCGCTCGCCTCACCTTGGAGGCTACGGTCGGCACTATGCATGTGAACGCCAAGATTGTCGCCGATCGTTTGTCTTTACATGCGCAAAGCATTGTCGTTGCTACCGAAGCACTTATCAGCACAGATAGATTTACAGTGAGTGGTGTATCATTTCTACTTGAAAATAAACTAGAATTTGAGCCGCATGGTTTCCTGAAACTAAATGCGCTATCCTTTTCTAGTGCTATGCTTGGAGGATATTTTTAGTACTAAGATTCATTTTCAGGTATTGTAATTTATGTGTTAGAAAAATAACCTTTTGAGATATCAATCTTGCTTTTATTCCCTGTAATGTTGTACCGCAAAGAGGGGACTTAAAGGCGCCACCCCATTCACACATCTTTTTCAGTCACCCAATGTTTTAATTCCTTTCGGCAATATCATATTATGATGCAGTATCCACAGGCGCTCCCTCCCAAGAAAACCCAATTGAAGGCAAGCCCCGGGATAAGACTGATGTATAAGAGCGCTTCACAGTGATGACTGAGCTGCGGAATGAACTGAAAGTGGAAAGGACAACAAGAGAAATCACCGGAAACGCTAAAAATTAAGGCCTTAACCTACTGTAACGTCGGATGTGGTACGATGGCGAAGACAAGGTGATCAAAAAAGACAAAACACGCGAGAGAGCACGCCGTTCGAGAGAGCACGCTGATCTCTATATCACAGCGGTGGGTGGGAAGCGTTGCAACGAGGGTCGATGGTTGCAGGTTCGTAATGGATTCTCGAAGCTGGCATGATCTATGAAGGTATTATAAATACCCCGAAATTTCTCTAGTGGTATCCTTCCTAGTAGTCGGGCTGATCCCGGGGTTTGTCTTTAGCATTGCCTA